AACACCGTAGAGCTTTTCCGACACAAGGAGCCAGAGCGTCCCACTCTGGGACTTGCGCTCAGTATTCTCTATGGTAGGTGGGCCGAGCGGGAGGGCCAAGGCTGAAAATCTCTGTGGAGGAGAAGGAGGAGGGCATTATGGGTAAGTGTGGGAGGCTTCCGGGGGCAGAACACGGGTTGCAGTTATAGGTTTTCGATCTATCGTAGGGCATTCAAACGCTCTATGTCCTAATATGTTACAACAAAAACACCCTAGGTTTAAATGACCCCTGTTATTGTTGGTCACAATTCCTTGTACACCCCTTCCTATTCCCACATTAGTTCCAACCGGACCAGTCCTTCTTGGACCTTCGGATTTCTCTCTAAATTCCTTCAACCCTACGTCTAGTTCAACAACAGTTTTATACCAGTCTGTTATTCGTTGGGGCACACCCCTGTAGAGACAAGCCTGTCGTAATCCTCTATCTAAACCGGCCCTGAATTCCCTAATCAATAGACGTTCTGGCCAAGTTCTCAGTTTCCCAGCCAATCGTCTGATCTCCCTGACATATTCAATAGCTGGTCTTCCATTCTGTTTTAATGTCATTATTGCTTCCTCAGTCTGGTGTACTCTAGACTTATCCTCAAATTGATTACAAAGCGAATCCAAGAATAACCCTACATCAATCAATTCTCTAGCATGGGCACTATGCAACTCCGCCACCCAGTCTGCTGCGTCTCCAGTTAACACCCCAGTAATTGCTACTGTCATTGACCATTGGGAGGGGTAATATGTTGCATATAATTCCAAATGATTTACTACTTGGCTGAGAAATAAAGCTATACGATTGGGATTTCCATCAAAAGAAGTTTGCAGTGGAGGTGGACCCCCCCATACCATGCGCTATTCCCAGCGGCCAGTCCTTCTGGGGAATCCCCAAGTCTCTTCTTGTGGTTCACGTCGAGGTAAGGACTCTGAATGTTCGCCGCAAGACGTCATGTGTGTGGCTCCTCTTCTTCTGGGCTCTGAACCTCCCACCACCTCTGCAAGCGAGGAATCAAACCCGGCTGAAAAGTCATGTGTTGTTCTTCTATGGGTATGGTCTCTTTCATCCCGGGGCAGAGAACTAAAGAAAGAAGTGTTCTCCGTGCTGCTTCCCCAATGATGTTTGGTATCACGGCTGCTGATACTCAATTCCCCATATTTTACACAGAGAAGTTCAAGAGTACTAGCTCCAAGGCTGGATGGGGATGTGCTTCATTCATCTCCCTCGCCTATTCTCCTTTCTCTCCACTTCTCAAAGGTGTCAGAGTGTGCAGGAACCTGGGTAGGAGGTTTACTCCGAAGAAACCCCATGTCCTCTGTTAAATCAAACCCACTCCTCCTTCCTGGCCGTGTTTTTGGTTGCACCACCTTTTGCAAACTGTCATCGGTTCCTCTGTCCAAACCTCCCGTTCCTTCACCGGGTGGAATATTACCCGCAACAACACTAGTGCCGTCGGCTCCCAGCTGGCTCTCCTCCTTCCCGGTCTCCAACTGCAATTCATCCTCCCCATCTTTACCTTCAGCCATAGTTCGTTACTCCTAGGTTTCCAAAGGAATGGAAGCCTCCGGAGGGATTAGACTTTGTGAAGGGGGAGAGCTGACTTTCTTTGTCAGCTGTTCGTCCGAGATTGAGGGGGTGAACGATAAGATTGAGGGGGTGAACTCACTCCTGTAGCTTTAGTGAAGTTTTTTATTCATCTTCCACACCACAACAACAGGTAACAGCGATCAAATTATGTTTAAAGTCAGCTCTTGCAACGAAACCCAGAGATGTATTTATACATGTTATACTTTGGATAACAATATAATTACTATAACCACCTTCCGTCTGTCTTCACTGCCTAACATCCGGCATCCTTAAATTAAAGAAACATAGTAACTGCATCTTTCCCCTGCTGGATGAGCCCATGTACCCTCATTTATTTCTTATCATTATTACAACATCACCCCCTTGACATCCAGCCATGAATCATTATTATTACACCACTCCTTGTCAGGAAGCCAATGTTAGTTATTTGACGAATATTCATTATAGCATCCACGTGGCAACACTAGGCAAGTGAAAGAATATGGTGGTATCACATCCTGGCTGTCTCAGTTCCAGTCCGTTCTTTATTGGAGTCGTGACATTGGCTGAATACCACCACTGCTTCTGAGTTATATTCTGGCAAGGCTTTGATTTTTTTTGCCCTGGGCAAACTTTTGCAGTTCTTCCAATTCTGCTTTTGTGAATACTTTATTTCATATTATAAATCAATGTTGATCTGCTATTTTTTGTTCCATTAAAAACAGATTTAATGCATTCATTTCAAATATCCTCTTCTTGTTGGGCTTAATAACATATAATTGTTTCATTGTTTTCAATAACTGTATATTTGTGATAGGTAAACACTTTACTTGCAGTAGTTCTGCAGTTGCTGGCCTTGGCTGCTCAGCCAACACTCCATACTCACCTTAGTAAGATTATCTACTATTTCATCTTTCTCATTGCATAAGTGACATTCGCTGTTGTTGCTGACATGTTGAATTTTTGCTTTTATTGAATTGGTCTGCAAGGCTTGTTCTTGGGCAAGCCAAAATGAGGCCTTCAAGTTTCTTTCTTCAGCACTCCTGATTTCAACCAGCTCCATGTTAGCTTTGTATTTTCCTTTTCTTCAATGTCCATCAGGTATTGACTGTGCATAGGATTCTTTTTCCAGTTAAACACCCTGTGTTTCCTTTCTATATTCTGCTTTCAATGTTGTTATTTTCCTTCTTCACCCCATTCAGCAAAGGCTCTTTTTTTTAAATGTAGTCATTTAAGGCATATTTTTTCTCTTCCACAATTTGTTATCACCTGTAAGAGATCTCTGCACCCTGAGATCTTGGCAAGTACAATCAATCAACATCACTTTTTGAGTGCAGAGAATGGTGCATTGTCATTAGTATCCATATATTTTAATCCAAGTTATCAAGTTCTAGATGAGTCCAATCAATTATTCCAGCTGAATATCATATTACAGGCACTGCCCAGGTGTTAATTGCCTTTATAATATTTCCTCTTTGATCTCAAGATTTTCTGAGCTCACTTTATGTATTTTGTTGAAGTAGCTTTCTTGACTTGGTTGTGCAACAGAAGCTTCCAAAATTCCTAAGTACTTGTATCGTCTGGTGTTTCTTCTTTTATCAGCTCTTCATTATCAAGTTTGAATCCATCATCTTCAACAATTTTTATTGCTTTAATAGCAATTGTTGCACATTTGTCAATGCCAAATTGCATTTCAATATCTCTGTTAAACTTTTCAGTGCTTTTCAGCAGTGAGCTCAATTCAGCTTTTGTTTTCTCAATTTTAAAACATCCATG